CCCATACCCATACGTATTCTACGTGATACTGACGCGATTCAATCATTGTTGTTAGAAAGTATATTGCCTTTAGATTCGATTTCTGCCACTGGTGAGTATGTTGTGGCTCAGGATTTTGAGGGTGGCTGTGTTAATGTTCCTCTTCATAACATTTATTTAGCATCAGACCTAGTTTCGGGACCAGTTGTGGTTGTGGTAAGACCTACTCTGCCAATTAAGGGCGTATCATTGTTGTTGGGAAACGACTTGGCTGGAGGAAAAGTTGTTGCCGAACCTGAAATTACTGTTTTATCTAAGGATGATGATGTTGTTGAGGAGAATTTCGATGTGTTTACCTCATGTGCGGTGATTCGAGCTCAGGCTAAGAAATTAAGCCAAAAACAAATAATTGACATGAATTCAGGGGACGATATTACATATTTGTCTCAGACATTTTTTGGATCCGACAAGGATCTTGTGGATAATTGTCCTACTGATGATTCCTCGGTGAGGGATGTGATTTACCCAGTGAAGTTCCATTTACTAAAAGTAAACTGATCACTGAGCAAGAAAAAGATCTACAGATCTCTTCACTATTTAAATATGAACTCCCAAAAAGATGAACTGGAGAAATTTACAAATGGTTATTTTGTCAAAAATGGTGTGCTTATGAGGAAATGGAGACCACCAGATGTGCCAGCTTCAGAGGACTGGGCTAGTGTTTACCAAATCGCTCTGAAATATTGAAAGTTGCCCATGAACTCCCCATGGGAGGTCATTTAGGTGTCAACTAGACATGCGACAAAATGGACCACGTATCGAATCTGTGACATTCCGTGACTTAGGTCGACGTGATAACAACTACGTTACAAACACTTAAAGAGAAGTTGGGGAAAATGTTCTTACAGTGTTCATTCTTTAATCTTAATTTTAAATAATATTTTCTTTTAGGTATTCATTAATGAAGCATTAAAGAATGCTATCAATCACTAGAGTGGTGAAAGTAACAGCCGATCTTTTATTTTGCTTTCTAGAAAAAGAGAAATCTAAGACTGAAATATGTAATGATGCAATATAATTTAAGTTTGTTTGTTTTAGTGCAAATCTACATAAATGGGCTCTATCCACCGAGTGTATCGAAACCTTGTAGCATTGCGCTTAAAAACAAAAACCAGCTGAATATAACACATATTTTTAGTTTAACATCCAGTACTCTTTGAAATGATACCCATGAACTCTAATAACTTTATAATGAACATACAATACAAATGAAAGCTTTCTTCAGTTTAGAAACGAAATTATAAAAATTACTTAAATAAGTGCTTGTGGTGTAGTGGTCATCACATTCGCTTTACACGCGAAAGGTCCCAGGTTCAATCCCTGGCGGGCACAAAGTGTATTTTTAGATTAGCGTGTTCTGCTGTCTCAGAGTACAGACGTGTTTTTTTTTATCAGTTCTGATTTCATGTTTAGTTAGTGACTTACTCTTTTTTGTTTTATCGCGTTGTG